CCTTACTCCCTCCCCCTGGCAGGGCGCAATCGTGGAGAAGCGCATCCTGGCCAAGGTGCATAGCCGCTTTGTGGTGACGCTGGCCTACGCCTTCCAAACCAAGACAGACCTCTGCCTCGTCATGACCCTCATGAATGGTGGCGACCTCCGGTGAGGCCCCATCCCTGTGGCAGCCCTTCCCCCAATCAGTAGCTTAGTGTGTCTGGGTCTATCCCAGAATAAAGTTCCTGCTCCAGCTCTGGGGTTCAATGTATCTGGATTTCACCTGGGATAAAGTCCCCTCCTCTGCTGTAGGGTTCAGTGTGACTGGTTTAATCCCAGGGTAAAGCCCCCACCCTGGCTGTGTGGTTCAATGTGTCTGGGTTTATCCCAGAATAAAATTCTCTCCCCTGCTTTGGGGTTCAATCTGTCTGGGTTTATCCTGGGATAAGGTCCTCTCCCCTGCTCTGGGGTTCAATCTGTTTGGGTTTATCCAGGGATAAAGTCCTGTCCCCTACTCTAGGGTTCAATCTGTCTGTGTTTATCCTAAGACAAAGTCTCTCTCCTGGCTCTGGAGTTGAACGCATCTGGATTTAACCAGGGATAAAATTTCCTTTCCCCACTCTGGGGTTTAATGTGTTTGGATTTGTCCCAGGATAACCACCTCCCCAGTCCCAGGTTCAATGTGTCTGGATTTATCCTGGGTTAAAGTCTGCCCCCTCCCCCACTATACAGTTCAATATGTCTGGATTTATCCCAGGATGAAGTCCACTGGGGTTCAATGTGTCTGGATTTATCCTGGGATAATATCCCAGACCTTTCTCTGGGATTCAATACTTCTGGATTTATCCTGGGATAAAGACCTCTTAGATTTATCCCAGGACAAAATCTAGGTCCCTTTTTCCTTGATAAATCCAGACACATTGAATCCTGTAGCAGGGGAGCGGACTTTATCCAGGGATAAATCCAGACACGTTGAACCCAGAGCAGGTGGGGAGGGCTTTATCCCAGAACAAATCCAGACACATTGAACATGGGACCAGAAGAAGTTACTTTATCCTGTGATAAAGTGAACCCCAAGAAGCAGTGTGGGGGCAGAAATGGGAAACTTTATCCCAGGATATATCCAGACACATTGAACCCTGTGGCCAGCCATAATTTAGGCCCATCTTCCATGATGTACCTCTTAGGCAAATGGCTTGGGGAGGGGGGCTGGGACTGCCTGTATTATGGGAAATATCCATCCCTCCCCCCTGTTCTGGAGCTGCCCTTCCACCCCCATGCCCAAGGAACCGCTATCCTCCTGGGGGAAGGAGGGGACTGAACCCCAAATCTCAGGTCATGTGACCCCCCCAAACCAGTCCTGTGGTCTACATGACCCCCAAACTGAGGTTTCAGCTTCCCCCAAAACCCCAGCCATCTTCCCCTTCTCCATACCATGGTCTATCCCACCCTTGATGTCAATGTAGCCAAATCTGGGGATGCTGGTGGCCATGGGGTAGGCCCTTCTGGTCGCCATGGAGATGCCAGGCCATGGAGTGGGCTTATGGCTGCCATCGAGATGCCAGGCCACGGGGGTAGGCCCTTTTGGTCTCCATGAAGACACCAGGCAATGGGGGTAGGCCCTTCTAGTCACCATGGAGATGCCAGGGCATGGGGATGCCAGGCCATGGGGCATGGGGGAGATGGCAGGCCATCAAGTAGGACCTTCTAGTCACCATGGAGATGCCAGGCTGTGGGGATACCAGGCCATGGGGCATAAGGGAGACGCCAGGCCACAGGGGTAGGCCCTTCTAAACACCAAGCCATGGCAGGAGGCCTTTTTGGTCTCCAAGGAGACACCAGGCCATAGGAGTAGTGATGCTCAGGAAAGCTTGGCCCACTCAGTTGCCATAGCAACACCTTCCCCAGCTCGGGCCATAGGGTCATCCTGGAGATGGTTCCCCACAACCCCCTAACTTGAGTCACATGACCCTCTGCCCTTTGCAACTAGGTACCACATGTACAACGTGGACGAGAAGAACCCAGGCTTCCCAGAGCCACGTGCCATCTTCTACACGGCCCAGATCATCTGCGGCCTGGAGCACCTCCACCAGAGCCGCATCATCTACCGTGACCTCAAGCCGGAGAATGTGCTGCTCGATGACGCTGGTGCGGGTCCCAGGGGGCCCAGGGAGAGAGCTTCCTTTCCCCAGAGCCGGGAGAGAACCCAGGCGTCTGGGCTGCCCAAGTCCCCCATGGCCCTACCCAGAGTGGGGAGACCCCAGGGTGGGAGGTGAAGTAGGGGCTGACCCCCAGCTACTCTGAGGCCTGTTTTTACCCTCTCTCCCAGGCCATGTACGCCTCTCCGACATGGGGCTGGCTGTGGAGCTGCCTGAGGGGCAGGTGAAGACCAAGGGGTACGCGGGGACCCCAGGTGAGTGGGGGTGGGAGTGGGGGGAACCCCAACTTGAACCCCCTGTGCCCCCTTCCATCTTCCTGGCCCCCTTTCTCCCCATCTAAATCCCCCTTAAGCCCCCTGCAGACCCCCCACTTCCATCTCCCCAGCTTGGACCCCACCTTGATCCCCATCCTTTCCAGTGGGTCCTGACCCTGCTGCCCATCTCTGTGCAGGGTTCATGGCACCAGAGCTGCTGCGGCAGGAAGAGTACGACTGGAGCGTGGACTACTTTACATTGGGCGTCACCCTCTACGAGATGATCGAGGCCAAGGGGCCCTTCCGGACCCGGGGGGAGAAGGTAAGGAGAGATCTGCCCCCTGCTCTAAGCCCCCCTGCCTGGTGTTGCCATGGTCACCATGGAGCTAGCAAGCCAAGGAGTAGGCCCATCTGGTCACCATGGAGATAGTCGGCCAAAGGATAGGTCCACCATCATGCAGACATTAAGTCATGGGGTAGGCCCACCTGATGGGATCTCTGCCTCCCCCTACCCCCATAGTGACACCAAGGCAGGATTGACTGACATGGTTGCCCTAGTGATGTCATACCTAACTTGGCCCACGTGGTCATCATACAGATGACAGGCCCATCCTGGTTGCCATGGTAATGCTAAGCCTGCCTAGGCTCACTTGGTCACCGTGGTGATGCCTTGGCCTGCACACTTGCCATAGTGACTCCAGGGGAGGTTCAGCCAGTGTGGGCACCATGGAGATGGTAGTCTTATCCAGCTACTGTGGCGACACCATACCTAGCCCACCCCACCTGGTTACCAGGGAGATGCCAGGTCCCCCTGGTTACCACAGTGATCCCATATCCACCTTGGCCTATTGTAGTGCCAGCCCTGCCTGCTTACCATGGGGATGCCATACCCAGCTCAGTAGTTCATGGAGGTACCAAGCCCGCTCAGTTACTATGGCTCAGCCCGCTCAGTTACTATACTACTTAGATACCATCCCAGCCCAACACCAGGATCAGCTAGTTACTATGGTAAGGCTAGGTAGCCTTGGCTCATGTGGTTGTCCTGGCAACACCACGGCAGGCTCAGCCTATGTGGGCACCATGGAGGCTCCAGACTTACCTGGTTGCCACGGTGACATCAAACCAGGGCCTGTATCCCCCTTGTTGCCATGGTGATGCCACACCAGAGTCTCAATTCACCCAGTTGCCATGGTGATGCTGGGCCAGGGCCTTGGCCCTGCTTGGTCACCATGGCAACATCAGCAGGGCCTGCACGGTGCTAGGTTGCCATGGTGACACAGGACCAGGGCCTATGTCCACCTGGTTGCTGTGGTGATGCCAAATCAGAGCCTACACCCCACGTGGTCACCATGGTGACACCAAGCCAGGGCAGGTTGACATGCAGCACCAGGCCAGGGCCTGGGCCACCTGGTCACCACAGCAATGCCCCTGATGGTGCTGCCCGCGGCAGGTGGAGAACAAGGAGGTGACGCGGCGCATCCTGAATGACCCTGTGAGCTACTCGGAGAAGTTCAGCCCCGAGTGCCAGGCAGCCTGTGAGGGGCTGCTGGTGAAGGACCCCACTGGGCGCCTCGGCTTCAAGGACAACAGCTGCGCTGAGCTCAAGGCCCAGCCCCTCTTCCACACCGTCAACTGGGAGCGTCTGGCAGCAGGTAACGGCCCCCTCGTCCCATGCCGGTGGGTGCCACAGGGTTGCCATGGCAATGCTGAACCATGGAGTTGGCCCATGTGGTCACCATGGCGACACCAAACAATGGGGGAGGCCCCCCTGGTCACCACGGGGATGCAAGACCATGGAGTGGTCCATGTGGTTACTATAGTGACACCAGGCCACAGGGTAGACCCCCCCCGGTCACAATGGTGATGTCCAGCCAAGCTAAGCCCCATGGTCACCATGGCAACACCAGGCCATGAGGCAGGCCCCCCTGGTCACCATGGACATCAAGACATGGGGACAACAGGCCTTTGCCCAGGCTCCCCTGATCGCCATGGTGATTCCAGGTCATGGAGTAGGCCCCCTTGGTTGCTATGGTGAGGCCAGGCAATGGGCTAGGCCCCACTGGTCACCATGATGATACCGCACCATGGAGTAGGCCTCACTGGTCACCATGGTG